AAAAACAAACAGGGGTGCCTGGGTGGCTCAGTAGGTTAGCATCCAGCTCTTAATCTCAGCTTAGGTCTTGAGCTCAGAGTAGTGGATCTGAGCCCTGCCCTGGGCTCCACGCTGGACATGGAGCCTACTTTAAAAAAAAGTAAGATATCATGGCCAAATAAGACCAATATTACTAAAGTTCAGACTAGAACCATCTCCCAGAGTTGGTTATTATACACGTTTTCCCTCCATATAGAGTAGTAATACTAAAAGTCAGTAAGTGGAGGAAAAAAAATATATTCTTAAGATTTTGTTTTAAAAGTATTTCTATACCCAATGTGGGACTCGAACTTACAACCCCAAGATCAAGAGTCATATGCTCCACCAACTGAGCCCGCCAGGCCCCCGAGAAGAAAAGATTCTTTAACAAAGTTATTTTCTCAAGTCCTTTAAAGCTGTACTCAGTTACCTTTTGTTATACAGTGGTTGCAGTCTCTTCAGAAGAGCCAACTCTTTCTCGGACTCTCGCCCTTTTTCTCCTACCAGGTCGCAGGTTTTTTCTTCTGTCTGCCAGGATTCTCTTACTGCCACAGCTAGGAGCAGTGGCAGGAGCAGTCCAGTCCTCCAGCAGCTGTAGAAGAGGAACATCCTTTTGGGAGAGAGGGTGTGGGTGTTGAGGAAGCGGGGAAGATCGGCGTGGGGGAAGAGAGAGAAAAAGCACATGAATGTACAATTTTTACTGTTTTATCTTCCATCCATCACTTATTCTACATTAGTCAGTTTTCCTTATTAACACGAAGTTGGGTTTTATTTTTTTGGGTCTATTTCGAGCTTTTAGTTTTCACCCATTATTTTTTTCCCTGTCCTCTAATACTCAGAACAGGATTCTTAATCTTTAGGTTTCTTTTTTTTTTTTTTAAGATTTTATTTATTTACTTGGCAGAGAGAGATCACAAGTAGACAGAGAGGCAGGCAGAGAGAGAGAGAGAGAGGGAAGCAGGCTCCCCGCTGAGCAGAGAGCCCGATGCGGGACTCGATCCCAGGACCCTGAGATCATGACCTGAGCCAAAGGCAGCGGCTCAACCCACTGAGCCACCCAGGCGCCCTCTTTAGGTTTCTTTTTAAAGATTTATTTACTTATTTTGAGAGAGAGAGTATGAGCATCTTTACTGTTTCATGAAAAGTTAGATTGCAGTATCTCACACTTAAAAGTTTAATACTGTTCACAAAAATGGCTTCAACCTGTGGTCCTCCTTAAGGTAACACTCAAATTATAACTTAACACTTGATAAAGTCTGGTTGAAAGTTATTGAAAGAGATGTAAAATAGGGAAAGGGACTCCAGTACTTTGGCTCCTAACTTCTCCTGTCAATAGTCAGAAGCATCAACAGTCTTTGTTCATATTCATCGTAAGAAAGATGGTAAGAGATAAATAAAGCCACAGCACCTAAAAGCTGACATTTACCTAATTTAATGGCTCATCTCTGAAAACACAATCGTTTAAATTATAGGAAGAAGAAAATTCACTAGGTTGAAGTGAGTGAAGACGTCTTTCAAAATCCACCTCAGGCTCTGTATGTCACAAATCTCAAGAGTTTCTAAACTTCCAGTAAGCAGTTGTCTTTGTACACTCCGAACTGGTGACAATTCTTGGCAATCACTAAGTCACTTTCCAATTCCCCTGCTCCTTGTACTGCTCTAGGAATGGAAACACATGGTTCCATTTCCTAAACTCATTTTTTTCCCCTCTAATCCATCTTCACCCAGGACATACTCATTTATCCTTGCAAACGACTTCACTCTGATGTCCATTAGTTAATGATCCTCCAGGCCAGTGCTACTTGTTAATTTCATAACAGTGTCACTGTTATCATACAAATATTTAATTCTTCCAAACTTTTTTTACTTGTAGTAACATGCTTCCAGACTACAAGCCTGGACTTTGGCTAATTAATTCTTTAGAGTCCTCTAATTCTTTTTCAGGTTAGTTCATCGACTCCAGTACATTTCTAGAATAAAAAACTAGGCAGAGTTTAATGGGTATTAGTAAATTTAAAGATAGAAAAATGGAAGCTCTGAGCCCTGACTGAATTTTCTCTGCCCTGACTGAATTTTCTCTACTCCCCTAAACAAACTTACATTTGACCTTCTGGTTCCCAAACGCTTGGGAAGTTGTCTCCCTGACTTTGTGTATTTTTTTTTTCTCTTAAGATTTTATTTACTTATTTGAGATAAGAGAGAGAGAAGAAGCATGGGGAGGGGGAGAGGGAGAGGCAGACTCCACTTCGAGCAGGGAGACTGACATGGGGCCTAATCCCAGGATGCTGGGAACACGGCCTGAGCCAGAGGCAGACACTTAACTGACAAAGCCACCCAGATGTTCCGATGACTTTGTGTATTTCCAAAACCAACTCACTACAGTAGTATTAGTAAAGTGTTTCCATAGAATAATTATCACCAGTCGTAATGTCTAAGGCCCCCATAAAACAGATTTAGAGCACTAATAGGAAACTTTATAATAGAGTACTTGCCTTTTACTCTTAAAAGCATTTAACATGCATTAACTAATTAATCCTTACAAAAACCCTATGCAGTAAATACAATTATTGTCCTTATTTTACAGATGAAAGAACTGAGACATAGCCAATGGAGTGACCCAGAAAGTCTGGCTCCAGAGCTCATGGTCTACACTTAACCACTACATGAGTATCCCCTTTCACATTAATTTTTTGGGGCTCAGAGTAGGCAGCCAAAGCCTTGCTTTCTTTTTGACAAAGCAGGGGGAAGTGATTCCTCACACAGTTCAATGAATAAGAAACAGAATAAAGAACTCAAACCTCAAACTCCTACCTTCCCTAAATTAACTCATTGCTCAACACATTACATGACCAGCATTGTTCCTAAAAAAAAATATTAAGAGATTCCTTTTACTAGATTAACACACCATATTCCTTATATTCTCTCAGGATCTAATTTAAAATTTCAACGTTCTAGACTGTCAAGCTTTTTTTTCCCCCCTTTTCCCCAGGACCAGTTTTCCAGAGGGGATGCTCATACAGAAGGCTGTGTTATATGGCCTTATTTGTTAACAGTTTATGATTTCTTTTCCCAAATTAGAACAAAACTGGGATAGGATAAAGGGTTAAACACCATGCAGTCTCCATTAGTGGAGCTGAACTCTCTTTCATTTGCTTATTCGTTCAAGAAGTTAGGGTGAGAATCAACTTACACTCTTCTCTCTTTTCTGCCTAAGGTTTGTCTGTTTTGAGCTACTTCTTTGATTCAGTGGCAAATGCTCTAAGTGCTTTATCTAGATTGTTTGTAATCTTCACAGCCAAGAAAAGTAGGTATAATTTCTCTCATTTTACAGATGAGGAAACTGATGCTTACAAAGGCTAAATTATTTGCCCTAGGTTATACAAGTATTAAAGATGTACGAAGTTGGTGGGGCAACTTGGATGACTCATGGCATAAAGCTATTTTCTGATAAATAGAGCGGTGCAAAAATTTATTAACGAGCTATGAAATCCAAGGGCTGTGTAGTTCCCTTTTAATGTGCTACACTTAGATCCTCAAGGTGCAACAGGCTGTCTAGATACTTTGGAAATAAAGGGCCGAACTTTAAGATTTTGCAAATCCCCTTCAATTTTCTTGTTTTAGGACAGATCTATTTTGGTAATGCTAAACAATTCTCTTCAATGGAATGACCACGGACTAAGCCAGGAACTGGGAAGCAGTTCAAATCACTGGGCATCTGTACCACTCTTTCCCACCCGTCAAGACTAGCCATGAGCATTTTCCATTTTTCAGTGGAATTTCTACTTTCTACTGTCTGGCTCACTCCTGAGGTTACGACCCTCATCTCCTGTCTCCAGCAGTCTACCCTTTCAGAAGAGCAGCCCTAACTAGCTAGCTAAACGGCCCAACGCTGAGAAGCCCTAGACAAGCAGCTCTAGGTCCCACGGGCGGAAGCTCCCCAGAAAGAGAAAACACAAGATAAGCCCTCTAGTAGCTATCCCATACCATACACGCATCCTCTTCAAACTTCTCCCAGGGTTCTAGAAATTCTTATTCCGTCTAGTCTCCTGATTTCCCAACTGCCTAGAGCCGTATCCTCTCCAAATGATACCACTTTACCTTCCTCCACAATGCAGGCCAAAAATTCCCACTACAGGTATCCGGGAACACCTCCAGCGACTCCATACCCAGGGTCCTTCCTTTCTCTGCCTTCCAAATGCACGTCGAATCCTTCTCCGGTCTTGGTAGGTCCTTTCTCCCTCACTCCCTTCGGGACTAACTCCCCGCCCTCACGCCTCCGCCTCCATTCTGCCCTAGGGCTCCTTAGCTGGAATTTTGGCCAGAACCCCGACCAAGGGAGACTTAGCGATCCCCAGCCCCTGTTCGGGCACCGGGGTGTGAGCGCTCTCCAGCTCCCCTCCTCCTCCACGCCCCTCATACTCACGTGTCACGGGCACAGGGAGTAGCCAAGGCGCAGAATCCCTGGCTGAATACCTGTCTGGGGCTGGGAGACAGGGCCAGCGAGGGGCCAGCCACAGACCCCGGACCCAGAACTCGTGTCAAAGGCCAGCGTTCCCCAAGGCGCCTCGCTGTGCTCCACTCCGGGAACCGGAAACAGGAAGCACCAGGCGTCTTCTGGGCAACTGCTCCTCCCACTAGACCCCGCGGCATGTGACCACAGAACCATTTCGCCCCTTTCCCCTTCCCGGTCTCCCGGCCGATCCCAGACCCTGATTGGTCAGGATCCTGGTCCTGTAGCTCCGCCCTTGTCCTATCAACTCCAACCACTTTCGAGATTTTCAAGTTGCGTTCCACCTTTTGGGGGGGTCGCGTTTCTACCAGTGGGGTCCCAGAGTCCCGCCCCTGAGCTTCTCTGCTCGCGGGAGTCGCTCGCGGAGTCACGCGCGGTCACGCGGGGTCACGCGCCGGCCAGCTCCCTGAAGAGGGTACGCGAGGGCGGGCGGCGGAAGCGGAAATTTGGAAAGGGGGCAGTCGGCCAGGCCTCAGTGGGAGCTGTAGTTCTCGCCCCGGGTCTCTTCCTGTCGGTGTTTCCCGTGCAGGTTTGCCGCCGGCGAGAGGCGCTGTTTCGCCGTCGGCCTGCGCCGAGTTGCGTTGTCTTCAGGATCGGCACCTAGAGGAGCGTGGACAGCGATTGGGTCGCGGCTTTCTTAACGACACCTTTCTTCTTTATTTCCTGTCTATACTTTAGTACCTTGGGCTCTGTTGTTACCGGTACTGTTTTCGTTAACCTTGTCATCCCGGTCATTCTGCGTAAAACACGGCAACCAGTTCTGTTCACCAGAGGTTTCGCGGCATTTTGCGTGCTGAGCCCTCCGTAACCAATTCTGCTCAGCCCATCCTATCCGCATTTCTGGTGTCCTCGGGAAAGAACAATCCTCTTTTAGTCTCCGTGCTTTTGCCAAGATCCTCCGCGGTTTCCCTCAGGTCGGTCTGAATTCGTCGCTTGCTGAAGTCCTGCGCGTTCCTGGAACTCGGTTCAAATGCTTTTGCTCCCGTGACTTTCTGGATTTTAACGCTCTTCGGAATGAAGAACTCCTTCCTCTAACTGCCCGCTTGTTGCCTCTACTTGGTTTTAACCGGATTCCATCCTGCTTTGACTCCTGCGTTGCTTTTGTGTGTGTCCCCCCCTCTTCGCGGGTAGGGACTGGATTTTGATACGTCCTTCTCACCAGAGCTACTACAATGTTTTGAATCCAGTAATAATGGAAGCTATACGTGCATGGTTCTGTGGTGCCGGCACTGTTCTAAGTGCTTTAAATGAGAATTGATTTAATCTTAACCCTAAACTTTGAATTTTAAAGCTGATGGAGGCTAAGGAACTTACTCTGGGTCCCACGTCTATTAAGTTAACGTTGTCAGTATCCAGGTTCCGTAATTTAGGCGTAAGTTAGTTATTTATATGTGCATGTAGTCTTCAGAGTCGAAGCTCTCACGCAATACTTTATGCTCACTGTTTAGGATTCTGCATTTGTTTATTGATTGGTATATTCAGTTCAGCCAAGGTGGTTATCATGTCTGGGTTGGGTTTGAATGTGTTCTCAAGAAAAAAATAAGAAAATTAAAAAGCGAGTCTCTTTCTAATAATAAGAGTAATTTGTAATCAGAAAATACAGAGAAGGACAAAACAAAAATCCAAAAACCCACAAAGAGGTTGTGTATTTCTCTCAGGAATGTGTTATCCATTTCCTTCTTAAAAACATTCAATGTAATCAAATTTTTTCTCTATATCGCTAACTTTACAAATAAACTTAATTTTTTAATTTTTATTTTTTAAAAGATTTTCTTTATTGACTTGACAGAGATCACAAGTAGGCAGAGAGGCCGGCAGAGGGAGAGGGGGAAGCAGGCTCCCTGCCAAGCAGAGAGCCCCATGCGGGGCTGGATCCCAGGACCCTGGGATCATGACCTGAGCCCGAGGCAGAGGCTTTAACTGACTGAGCCACTCTGGCGCCCCACAAATAAACTTTTTAATGGTTGCGTAATATTTAGGTGCATGGACTACTGCCTAAGCAATTCCATTAGAGTTAGGTATTTAAGGCATTTCTACTGAAAAAAAAAATTTTTTTTCAATTCATTCAACAAATATTTACTGAGCAGTTACACTGTTACAGATTTTGGGTGATGAATCGTAGAAAATAAAAGACAAAAATCCCTTTTACAATGAGCTTTCATTCTAGAATTAATGTTCTTTTGTTGGTGAATTCAAATTTTAATTTCAGAAATCTTGCCTCTGGTCATTGCCTAGAGTCATTTTGGGCTTGAGGGAAGGTAGGTTGTATGTTGGAAATGGTGAAAGGTCCAGCAACACAGTTGAGTAGGATGAATAATTTGTCTTATGTAGTAGGAGTGAGAAGGAGGGAGAGACCTCCCTTTCCATCCCTTACAAGTAACCTGGGTTACTTCCCTGCCTCTCAGCCTTTAGTGCCGATTATGGAAACTATCTATGCCAGGAACAAAACTGAAATTAGCAGGGTTTTTGCCTTTCTGCTTTGTGTCTATCTAGCCTTATCATTAACAATAACACCCTCCACACTCTACCCACACCCACACCCCCTCCCACATACAATTGCTCACTTTGTTTAGAAAGGAGTTCTGTGACTTTTGTTCTAAAATCATACGTTGCGGATGCCTCCTGTTTAGTATAAGCAGAGGAGGGGAAGATGCTGGAAAGATCTAGTGTTCCCCATTTCATACATGGAGGATATATTCCAAGATCCCTGAAACTAGGAACAGTACTGAACCCCATATATACTATATTTTTTTCTTATACATAATCTATGATAAGGCTTGATGTGTAAGTGAGGAATAGTAAGAGATTAACGACAACAATAATAAAATAGAACAATTATAACAATATGTGAATGTGGTGTCTGTCAAAATATCTAACTGTGGGGTGCCTGGGTGGCTCACTGGGTTAAGCCTCTGCCTTTGGCTGAGGTCATGATCTCAGCGTCCTGGATTCCAGCCTTGCATCGGGCTGTCTGCTCTGCAGGGAGCCTGCTTACCCCCTTCTCTCTGCCTGCCTCTCTGCCTACTTAAAATTAAAATCTGTCAAATTAAAAAAAAAATCTAACTGTACTGTACTCATCCTTCTCCTTGTGATGGTGAGAGATGATACGCCCACATGATGAAAGGAAGTGAGGTGAATGACATACAATTGTGATTTAAGGTTAGGTTGTTATTGACAGATAAGTCAGGAGGAGGCTCATCTGCTCCCAGGATGTGGTTGACCTTGAATGACTGAAACCATAGAAAGCGAAACTGTGTGTAGGGGATACTACTATATCCTGAATTCTTCCATCAATTCGTTGCTTTGATAATTTTCCCCGTCTACTTTTTTGTTAACTCTGAGCTGGGAGGTTGGGAATGGCTTTTTAAACCTCTCAACAGCTTCCTTCTGTATGAGTTTTGCATTGCAGGTTTTGCTCTGGTTTTACTATCAAATCCTACCTGCTCACAATTTCTGATCTACTCAGGGATATTTCGAAATTTGTTGGTAGTTTCTTAATCCTGTTATGCATGTATTCAGTTTGCAGTCTTGAATTGGATTTCAGTTTTGAATTTTTATTGATGCTTTCCTTTTAAAACATTTAACATATTTCAAGGACTAAATATATTTTTTGGTTTTGGTAATTTTCAACTTTAATATAATTTAACATTTTTAGAATAGATGCAAGAATAGTAAAAAGAACTCTTGTATTCACTTCACCTGGATTTACCAGTTGTTTACAAGTCGCCCCATTTGCTTTATTGGTCTCTCCCATCCCTGTAAACACACACACACACACACACACACACACACACACCACACAACACAAACACACTCACGCAGTGGTTTATTTTGAACAATTTTTGAAAGTTGCCCATTACTGTTAAGGACATTAGTGTGTATTTCCCAAGAATAAAGACATTCTCTTAACTTATTACAGTGTAATCATCACAGTTAGAAATATAACATTGGTAGGATATTATTACCTAATCCATGGTCCATATTCAGATTTCATCAGTCATCTCAGTAAATATGCTTTGTAATTATTTCCCATTCCCCAACCACAGAGCCCAAGCAGGAGTCACACATTGCAGTTAGTTGCCATTTTTCTTTGTTTTTCACTGAAATTTTGAAAAGTACAGGTCACTTAATTTGTAAAATATCTCTCATTTTGGGTTTTCCTCGTGATTATATTTAGGTATACGTTTTCTTTTTCTTTCTTTCTTTTTTAATGTTTTTAAAAAGATTTTATTTATTTATTTGACAGATCACAGGTAGGCAGACAGGCAGGCAAAGAGAGAGAAAGGGGGAAGCAGGCTCCCCACCGAGCAGAGAGCCTGATGTGGGGCTCGATCCTAGGACCCTGAGATTATGACCTAAGCCGAAAGCAGAGGCTTAACGCACTGAGCAACCAAGATGCCCCTCTTTTTTTTTTTTTTTTTTAAGATTTTATTTATTTAGGGGCGCCTGGGTGGTTCAGTGGGTTAAGCCTCTGCTTTTGGCTCAGGTCATGATCTCAGCGTCGTGGGATCTAGCCCCACATCTGGATCTTTGCTCAGTGGGGAGCCTGCTTCCTCTTCTCCCTCTGCCTGCCTCTTACCTACTTGTGATCTCTGTCTGTCAAATAAATAAATAAAATCTTTATTTTTTTAATGTATTTTTAAAGATTTTATTTATTTATTTGACAGACAGAAAGAGAGATCACAAGTAGGCAGAGAGGCAGGCAGAGGGAGAGGGGGAAGCAGGCTTCCTGCAGAGCGGAGAGCTGGATGCGGGGCTGGATCCCAGGACTCTGAGACCATGACCTGAGCTGAAGGCAGAGGCTTAAACCACTGAGCTATCCAGGCACCCGTACGTATGTGCTTTTTGATAGGACTAAGAGAGAAGTGATGTGTCCTCTTATCAGTCAAGATCCAATTAGAAGACAGATACCAGACCAGTGATTTTAAGGAAAAAATTAATATAGACTTGTTTTCTAGTAAAAAATAATTAGTAAGGGAGGGCTCAACAAAGACTCTAGGTTATACAGAAGTTACACAGAAATAACAACTGGGGTGCCTGTGTGGCTCAGTGGGTTAAGCCTCTGCCTTTGGCTCAGGTCATGATCTCAGGGTCCTGAGATTGAGCCCCGCATCGAGCCCCGCATGGGGCTCTCTGCTTGGTGGGGAGCCTGCTTCCCCCTCTCTCTCTGCCTACTTCTCTGCTTACTTGTGATCTCTCTCTCTCTGTCAAATAAATAGATAAAATCTTTATAAAAAAGAAAAAAATAGCAACTACAAAATGCAGCTACTACCTCTGGGCTGAAGAAGAGTTAGCAAGGAAGTACCTTAGAAACTTAAGAAGTGCTCACTTCCCCAACCACGAGGTAGAGATTCAGGCCTGTGAAGAGATGATGTAGTTCTTGCCACAGAAACATGCAGCCCACTGATGAGATAACAGATAAATTGCTGGAGGGTGTGGATTGATGTTGACTGCCAGTGGGAGCCTCCTTTTGTCATTTTGACATCTCCCCATAATGTTTGGAGCAAATTCTTTACTTTTGGGTATACAGATATTCCGTGTTTATCTTGTATTTTAATTACCCTAGAATCAGTTATTTCTCCACAGGAGCCTGGTTCCTCTTAGTGGAGAGTGGTGTTGAGAAACCAAGATCTGATTACAAGGTGTGTTTGTTGCTACTTTTGGGTCACTGCTTTAGTGCCTCTAGGCAGAGTTAGGAAATCTATATATATTTCTAAGAGTGAGAAAACACTTCCA